AACCTTTTTTATCATCTCATTGAAACCCAGTCCATTTATAAGTTTAAGTACAATATAGATCTCCTTATTGCTTTAAATTAATCACAAATATTGTTGGGACATCTTATAATTTTATACCCACACATGATATGTAACGCAATACGGTGGACATCACATGATGGCGGATCGTATTTTTTTCACAGATAATTAACATGTGGTTTGCATTTTAAAACATGCAAAATCACCACAAATAGTGTTTGATTTATGATCAAACAATTTATAAACGTATAAGATGGTTTTTGATTGTGTAACATTGAATGAGTATCAAATTCAAGAACATTATAATGGGTCGACGAACAAATTTTCATTGATTAAGAGGTTTCGTGTTATTAAAGTTGATATTTCACCTTCAGATATAGTATTTAATTTCAGTACATTAAAAAAATATCAAATATAATGCGGCATGCAATTTTTACTTCACATTAATTTATTTTCCTTATCATTGAATCCAGATAAAGGATGTAGCTAAAATTGTTTAAAACGTTTTATTTCCGTTTTCAATAAAAGAATGTTTGTTTTTTCACATTTTACCACTAACTTGCTAATTGGGATATTTAAAGGCAAATCATAATTCGAGATTGACAATGCAAAGGTTACTTCCCGGATACATGATTATATGTTAACTATCGCTAAACTTATTCATGCGTATGTCTTTATGTAATTTTGGTTTCATAAAGGTGTGTCTCCTCCCCAATATCATTTAATGAACATGCATTACATATTGAAGATAAAAAGAATTATATTTGATTTACGAAATTTACAAAATCTGATGTAATGTATTAGTTTTCAATTTTCGAAACGTTATTTTTTTGTTATTTGTAAGGTAAGTTTCCAGCATAGTCAATGTAATACGTGTTAATAGCCCATCTTTATCTGACTGAAAATGAATAAAGACGACAGTAGCCGACCAGGTTATTATCAAAGTAAAACTCTTAAAAGTACAAAAGTGCAAATCTTGTTATTTAGCAACAAAATCCCCGTGGTAGATACATTCAATAATAGAAACTGTAATGGGAAGGTTTTCATTAAGATTGGATGGGATAGTTGGGTTTTATCAAATACGTACATTCTTATTTCACTACATATATTATCTTTTTTGGCAAATGTTTGAACAGTTAGGTTTTAAGTAATACATTAAAGCTTTTAGCTATTAAGAAAACGTTTCGGAAAAAAAACATCATTCATTTTAACTTGTTACTACTCACATTGCTAAAACAATCAACTAATTTAATGAGATAATTTAAATTCAGCGTATCTGAATGCAAAATAAAAGATTTTCCAACGATGTTTTGTATCATATCTCTTTACGTTTATATATGTAATCTGTATGCGCCTGGATATATCAATTAAAACGTTTAGATATAAACCTACGACTTTATGTACATATAAGATAATATGATAAGATAACTTTTTTTGTACTTTGTCATATTTCTAGTCATATAATAAAATCTTAATGTACGAGTTATATATGAACCGGATATGTTAAAAAGACACAATTACAACTTCTACATTTGTTGTTTTATAATTAAATTAAGTTTTTAAAAACTTCAATAAAGTTTAATAGAAAAAAACAGAGTCCCTAAAGAACGCTTAAAACGGCAAAATTGAAAATATTGCAGATTCGGTTTGATTGGGCCTGTTCATGGACGGAAGTGGTACATGCAAGATACCTCCAGGCCCCCTGGCACCGATTTAAGCCTATTCACGGAATCACATTATAATCACAAACCTATGATATACGTACTTTATATATACACAAGTTCGTTAGATATCATCTGTATAATATAAATAACTATTCAAATTTACCTACTATAGCGACTTGCAAAACTACTAAATATGTTAAAATATACAAATATTGCTGAAATATTTTAAAACAACTGTCAAACACAGTCCTCTTATTTTATATACAACCGTTGGTTATTATAAAAATGATAGTACACGCTGGACACAAAAAAGAACGTTTTAAATTTATATACATGTACTTTATGAGTATTAGCTCGATCTTTGCATTCTCGAAAAAAAATTCGTCTGCTAAAACTGTCATTTGGTTTTCTGTACGTTTAACTTGTAACCTATAACCTTTACTTCATAAAAAGAAGAGTCTGAACGGTAGAATGGTAGAAGAATCTCATGCTTTTAATAAAAACTTTCTTATAAGTTCTTTGTGCTGGTAGTCAAAAATAATAAGATGAAGAAGAAATTTTCGACAGACAACAGATCGTTATTTGCAAAAATTGTCCAAAGAAAATGCTGAGAAGAATTAAGTGCTTTCACTAAAATGTATAAATATATTCGACATGTTATAAACTAGACTCTTTTTGCCATTTATTTCAATGCAATTATGATATATATTATATGTTATGGTTGACAGCGAATGTGTGAAAATGAAATATACATTCATTGTATATTACCCCCATTAACAAGCTTAATGAGCATGCCTATCTGATCGTGCTGGATTTCTTAACAATCTGAAATACTCAAATATTTAATATGAAAAATATTTTCATTGTCACCGGATATGATCAGTCACGATTTCGTTTAGGAGCCACCCCGCTAAAAATATCGGAACTTTGAAAACGCGGTTTGTTTTTTTATCTTAACGTTTTACGCTGAACGTTTGCCATGCACTTACTGGAACGTGAATAAGAGGAAAAAATATTGTCAGATCAAATAAACGATATGTTTAATGATTTCGGAAAAGCAGGAAGATTAATTATAAATTAAAACTGATTAAATCTTTAATCCGCAGAGACCGCATGTTTGACAAGGTTGTTTCAAACTGATTATTGACATTATGCATTTGAATATGTAAAACAAACTGCGAGACTTTAATTGTATCTCCGCCTTCTTTGTAGTTCTAAAGTTCTGTTTTGGTAGCATTTGAATGATTTTACCGACCTTGAGTTATTAACTGATCCCGACTTTGCATAATTATTGAAAAGAAATTAGTGCATATGTTAGAATTAGCTGCTCTCTCTCCCTTTGTTACATTTCAATTAAGCATATAAATTATATTGCAAGGATAAGCTCTCAATAGCGTAACAGTATTTAGTGTTTCCTTTATAAACACGGACAAATCCTTAAACATTTTCAAAATAAATAGCCTACCAGATTTTCACGGATATGGTCAGTCCTTAACATATTTGTGTAAATGAAGGTTTTAACAAATATAAAAGAAACACTGAAGCGTATACAAGCAGGACAAATATGTACTTAATTTTGTTCGACTGGACTGCTGCCTTATACAAAATTACACCTTAGCCCAATCCATCCGATAGACAAGATTTTATCTTCACCGTTTGACCTGAATTTCATTTTTTAAGCTTCCAATGGATCTTTAATGTTAGCACATTTGTTGTCCGTATATATAAAAATAATAACACTATTATCAACCCTTAACCTGGCGGACAACTGTAACGAATTGTCCAGTTTTGAATTAGGAACAATGTTTAAAGTTAAAGGGGTTTCAACATCAAATTACAAACAAACAAAAAACAACAAAAATCAGCCAACAGTATAGAGTCGAGCCTGGTCAGACTGTATGGGTGTCCAAGCTGGCACGGCTCTATACTGATGACAAAGGTCAATAACTTCCGATTCCAGCTGGTAAAAAGTTTAAAGTTCTATATAATTATCATTGTTTGTATATAAACAGTCATTCATATAAAAATGCAGTACTTTAGGAAATGTCTAAAAATGACAAGTTGACCAATTCTTGATACATTGACCTATTCTACAAACAAGATTTTCATATTTAATCCTTTATATTGGTCGCATGCTCCATATATAAGTCTCAGGTGTCTGTATATTTAACGGTTTTAATTGCTCACAATATTCATATAATCAATGTATTTAATGACTCGTATAACGAACGAACGATTTTTTTCTCCCTTGCTCGAAGTATTCTGTTTTTGTGGACCAAGATCAATCTCAATTTGTCTCGTTGTTCGGGATAATAGGGAGTAATAAATCTGTTGTAAATCTATCATGACATCATTCACTTTACGTAAAAAAGAACAAATACTTGTAATGACAAAGTCAAGAAATAATTTCACGGTGTTTGGGTCTGTGATAGGAGACCTTCTGAGAATATGTGAAGAAATAGATGATGGAATGGACCAGGTAATAAAGAAATAGAACGGGAGAAAATACAGCAAAAAAGAACAGCCAATGCCATTCATTTTGTCCATTATCCATTTGAGGGAATGGTTGCATTTGATCAATTTCGGAATATTTCTCCAAGATATCAAGTACAAATGTACATGTATTGTTCATTAAAAAATATTGAGACACGTACAGTTAACGTTGGCTGTAATTAGACCGAATCGGCAGCATACTATCTGATCAAAGTCATCATCAATGAATAGAAATAAAATGTTACTACATGTATTTAAAATATTGTTTCTACCAAGCTCATGTTTGTTAACGCAGAACAAAGTTAACAAATTAGTTAATTGTACAACATGAATTTACTCTGTGTACCGTATTTGGGTATGGTGGGGATGGGGACAGAGGGGTCGGGTTTTATGGGAAATCTTTATATTTTGTATATGATTTTATCATTTTCATTGACATATTTTTCAGTTCGATTAATTTAAATCGGTTAGAACAGCATTAAATCAATTATTTTACACTTATTAACGGCAGGTGTGAATTATTAATGAATGTGAAACAATATACAGGTGTTTCTTACAGTATATTTATTTAAATTAATATGTTCAATATTGTACGTACTATACATGTATCTCTTTATATAGCAAAAAAGAACCTCCTTTCAAAAAAATTGTCATTTTCTTCTTCCTTAAAATAACTCTGGACCCCTGCATGTTTACATTCTATTAAGCCATTTAAAGTTTGTACTAACTAAATGTATTTCTATAAAGGGAAAGTATAAATGGATATATTAATATTTAACACTGTATTGAAAATGGGGCAATTTTGTTAAATATTAAATGGCTTACCTTTTTATGTTATTCCAATAGTCCGAGTTTTATTCCAAATAGTAAATACTTTTATCACGACGTTATGATGATTCACTCTTGTTATATAAACTTTTTAAGCGTATAAGAAAATTATTTACTCCAATACTTTTAAACATGTGCGAGGACTATCCGGCGTTTTGGTTGAATACCGAGTAAAGTTAAGTTCAGTTTTTACTATAGAAAGGTTAAAGGCAAGTAAATTCCACTACGACTATGTTTAAACTGCCCACGGATAACCTATTGAACACTGGAAATCCTGTCAAATCTGTCAAACACTTTGTCCATTTTTTCTTTAACCTACCACTAGCCAAATAGCGAGACTTGTTATGGTTTAAATTATGAATGAAATGTTGTAATTAAGTAACAGATGCGTTAGAATTTAATTGTATAATAGATAACATAAAAAACACCGATGGTTAAAAGGACATTCTATTCTATTAGATCTCTAATTGTCACAGTTCAGTGATCTCATTATTTAAAGTAAGTTGCTAAAGGTCTACAGGCTGTTTTAATTGGCATACTAAATATTTTTATGTCCTCTTTTAAATACAAACACGGCCTGCGTATTCAAAATTTCAAGGGTTGTATACAATAAAAGCGGCAAGTGAGGCGTTTAACTTACTGAGCATGACGAAGTTTTAAACTGGTCTAGGTGTGGTACAATATTACTATGCATTTTCATTACAAAAAAGAAAGACAAGGGAGTTGGTTTTTTGCAGTATTGTGTAGCATAATCTTTTTGTTTAAAATAGGATCGTAGATTTTAGATACGAGCACCATATGTTAACACTTTGACCTTTTTTGTAATGATATATCTGGTTAATTGCCTGACAAGAATTTTAATAGTTTTTTCTTAAGTCATAGTGTTTTTTAAAAAATGCCTTAAAATATTTAGACTATTTAATTTGGCACACAATGTGCATTTCTTATTGCAAATAGAAATATAAAAACATTGACTATATATAGTGAGTCAGCGCCATAAAATATTTAAGGGTCTTATGACTCGAGTGAACAAGGAAAAACATCTGCAAACTGTTTAACTGTATTTTTTCCTTTCGTTCTTTTTGTTGTTGATGATGATGTGTTTTTTTTTCTTTCTTTTTTTTTCAATTAAAGGTACACTAAAGAATTTTTAAACATTAACTAATGACAAAAGATTTCTAATTGTGAACAATATTAAAGTAAAGAAAGGCGTTTAAATGTATTTTTTTACAGATGTTTTATTTGATTACATTTAAGGTAAGTACCATATTTCTGTATCCCGGTACAGAGAATTTGTCTGTTTGGCGTATTTCTAGAGGGATTTAAATGTATACAAGCATAGCTATATCCTTTATATTTTACAGGATTGTTTTGTTTACTTAGGTATAAATAGTCATGTTCCTTCTTTATATTTTTTATTTTCAAACGACACGAAAAATGATAAAACATATTAATGAATGAACAAGACATACCCAACTGAACAAAGTCCAGTATTTAGCATGAACTATTAAACATCCAACAATAAAAAACTTTAAGCAAATAAGATTACTTTCATTTTTTTCGAATTCTAAACAAAACTTTTACAGAGTGGACTGAATGAACAATTGGATTGAATGACCGAGTGGAATTAATGTCCGAGTGGATTCAATGATCGGGTGAATTGAATGACCGGTTGGATGGAATGATCGAGTGGATTAAAATGGAATGATCGAGTGGATTAAAATGGAATGATCGAGTGGATTAAAATGGAATGATCAGGTGGATTAAAATGGAATGATCGGGTGAATTGAATGACCGATTGGATGGAATGATCGAGTGGATTAAAATGGAATGATTGAGTGGATTAAAATGGAATGATCGGGTGAATTGAATGACCGATTGGATGGAATGATCGAGTGGATTAAAATGGAATGATCAGGTGGATTAAAATGGAATGATCGAGTGGATTAAAATGGAATGATCTGGTGAATTGAATGACCGGTTGGATGGAATGATCGAGTGGATTAAAATGGAATGATCGAGTGGATTGAAATGGAATGATCGAGTGGATTAAAATGGAATGATCAGGTGGATTAAAATGGAATGATCGGGTGAATTGAATGACCGATTGGATGGAATGATCGAGTGGATTAAAATGGAATGATCGCGTGGATTAAAATGGAATGATCGAGTGGATTAAAATGGAATGATCGAGTGGATTAAAATGGAATGGTTGAGTGGATTAAAATGGAATGATCAGGTGGATTAAAATGGAATGATCGGGTGAATTGAATGACCGATTGGATGGAATGATCGAGTGGATTAAAATGGAATGATCAGGTGGATTAAAATGGAATGATCGAGTGGATTAAAATGGAATGATCGAGTGGATTAAAATGGAATGGTTGAGTGGATTAAAATGGAATGATCAGGTGGATTAAAATGGAATGATCAGGTGGATTAAAATGGAATGATTGAGTGGATTAAAATGGAATGATCGAGTGGATTAAAATGGAATGGTTGAGTGGATTAAAATGGAATGATCAGGTGGATTAAAATGGAATGATCAGGTGGATTAAAATGGAATGATCGGGTGAATTGAATGACCGGTTGGATGGAATGATCGAGTGGATTAAAATGGAATGATCGAGTGGATTAAAATGGAATGATCGGGTGAATTGAATGACCGGTTGGATGGAATGATCGAGTGGATTAAAATGGAATGATCGAGTGGATTAAAATGGAATGGTTGAGTGGATTAAAATGGAATGATCAGGTGGATTAAAATGGAATGATCGGGTGAATTGAATGACCGATTGGATGGAATGATCGAGTGGATTAAAATGGAATGATCAGGTGGATTAAAATGGAATGATCGAGTGGATTAAAATGGAATGATCGAGTGGATTAAAATGGAATGGTTGAGTGGATTAAAATGGAATGATCAGGTGGATTAAAATGGAATGATCGGGTGAATTGAATGACCGGTTGGATGGAATGATCGAGTGGATAAAAATGGAATGATCGAGTGGATTGAAATGGAATGTTCGAGTGGATTAAAATGGAATGATCAGGTGGATTAAAATGGAATGATCAGGTGGATTAAAATGGAATGATCGGGTGAATTGAATGACCGATTGGATGGAATGATCGAGTGGATTAAAATGGAATGATCGAGTGGATTAAAATGGAATGGTCGAGTGGATTTTAATGGAATGATCAGATGGATCAAAATGGAATGATCGGGTGAATTGAATGACCGATTGGATGGAATGATGGAGTGGATTAAAATGGAATGATGGAGTGGATTAAAATGGAATGGTTGAGTGGATTAAAATGGAATGGTTGAGTGGATTAAAATGGAATGATCAGGTGGATTAAAATGGAATGATCGGGTGAATTGAATGACCGGTTGGATGGAATGATCGAGTGGATTAAAATGGAATGATCGAGTGGATTAAAATGGAATGGTTGAGTGGATTAAAATGGGATGGTTGAGTGGACTAAAATGGAATGATCGAGTGGATTAAAATGGAATGATCAGGTGGATTAAAATGGAAAGATCGGGTGAATTGAACGACCGATTGGATGGAATGATCGAGTGGATTAAATTGGAATGATCAGGTGGATTAATATGGAATGATCGGGTGGATTAAAATGGAATGGTTGAGTGGATTAAAATGGAATGATCAGGTGGATTAAAATGGAATGATCGGGTGAATTGAATGACCGATTGGATGGAATGATCGAGTGGATTAAAATGGAATGATCGAGTGGATTAAAATGGAATGATCGAGTGGATTAAAATGGAATGGTTGAGTGGATTAAAATGGAATGATCAGGTGGATTAAAATGGAATGATCGGGTGAATTGAATGACCGATTGGATGGAATGATCGAGTGGATTAAAATGGAATGATCAGGTGGATTAAAATGAAATGATCGAGTGGATTAAAATGGAATGATCGAGTGGATTAAAATGGAATGGTTGAGTGGATTAAAATGGAATGATCAGGTGGATTAAAATGGAATGATCGGGTGTGAATTGAATTACCGGTTGGATGGAATGATCGAGTGGATTAAAATGGAATGATCGAGTGGATTGAAATGGAATGATCGAGTGGATTAAAATGGAATGATCAGGTGGATTAAAATGGAATGATCGGGTGAATTGAATGACCGATTGGATGGAATGATCGAGTGGATTAAAATGGAATGATCAAGTGGATTTAAATGGAATGATCGAGTGGATTTTAATGGAATGATCAGATGGATTAAAATGGAATGATCGGGTGAATTGAATGACCGATTGGATGGAATGATGGAGTGGATAAAAATGGAATGATGGAGTGGATTAAAATGGAATGGTTGAGTGGATTAAAATGGAATGGTTGAGTGGATTAAAATGGAATGATCAGGTGGATTAAAATGGAATGATCGGGTGAATTGAATGACCGGTTGGATGGAATGATCGAGTGGATTAAAATGGAATGATCGAGTGGATTAAAATGGAATGATCGAGTGGATTAAAATGGAATGGTTGAGTGGATTAAAATGGAATGGTTGAGTGGATTAAAATGGAATGATCGGGTGAATTGAATGACCGATTGGATGGAATGATCGAGTGGATTAAAATGGAATGATCAGGTGGATTAATATGGAATGATCGGGTGGATTAAAATGGAATGATCGAGTGGATTAAAATGGAATGATCAGGTGGATTAAAATGGAATGATCGAGTGGATTAAAATGGAATGGTTGAGTGGATTAAAATGGAATGATCAGGTGGATTAAAATGGAATGATCGGGTGAATTGAATGACCGGTTGGATGGAATGATCGAGTGGATTAAAATGGAATGATCGAGTGGATTAAAATGGAATGGTTGAGTGGATTAAAATGGAATGGTTGAGTGGATTCAATGACCGAGTGGATACATCTGGCAGCTTCACTCCATGCGATATTAGTATAGCCTTAAAGGAGCTCTACTGAGGTCCTTAGACCAAAAAGCATAAGATTTGAAATTCTATAAATAAACTTAAGCACTTAAAACCAAAAAATAAAGTAAATCGTTATAACGAAATATACTCGGAATTAAAAGATTTTCAGCCAAGTGTTTAAAATTTCATTTCCAAATCATTTTGCACAATCAAAATGATAATTCGGGTAAACGGATTGAGCGATTCATCATATAAGTTTTTGTCAAGACATACATCAAATTTTACACAGTTGCCGAACACATATTTTCAGTCCCGTAGCTAAAAAAAACTCAAAGGAGTCCCTTTTAAGCGATTTTAGATATGCTTCTCGAATGAACCACGTGATCAGATTGCTCGCGGGCATATATCTTGAAGCCCTCGAATGTGTGTCAAAATTCGGAGTGAAAACTATCAACACCACCACCACCATGTTGTTCTAAGGCCGAATGACAGAAAAGGCTGACTTTAAATCACTTGCTCTTAATCCCTGCGAGTTCAAATTCCCGAAATAAACTATAAACTATGAGTTCTTTTGTGTGAGGAAGATATCCAGATATAACTAGATGCAGATGATCGATGGTTCAAGTCAGGTACCCTATCGTGCCTGAAATAATGAAGGGACACCTGAGGTTTTCGTCTACCAGTAAAGCTGGAACATCGCTTTATAAACTTTATTTTAAAGTATCTTTAAGGAAACAAGTGAACAATTTAAGTGCATTGACAATTTTTTATGGTAAATGAGCACTCAAAATGGTCTGTTTGAGTATGACAACGTGCAGGCACCACGTCTGTGTAAATCTTTAACTTACTCTTTAACTCCTGCTAATGAAATGAGTGCACTAAGATTGGCATGTTTTTTCGCAAAGTTAATGGAATCACGGACTTCAAGTCCGTGATTGAATAAATGTCGGCGACATTAATAAGTCGCTATAGCGACCTCACATAGGTTACAAAGTACATATCCATTCTTTTAGACTATAAATAAAGTTGAATTTAGCACTGAACATAACATACGATATGTAATGTCTGTAGCTAACAAAAACGAATTATGATTTACGCATACATTATAAGTTCATTTTGTGATATATACTTCTGAGAAAATGTTTCAGCACAGGATTGATGTAATTGTATTCTCATCTTTGATGATACGTTAATGCGAGTACAACAGTTATTATGTGGTATTTAGTACAACATTCATGCATAATAACATCATACAAATTTGTCCTGCAATTTTCGGATTGCGGAAATGTAAATTAGTATCAACAGGGACATATATAGATATAATTTCCTGGTAATCATACTCATAAATTAAGGTTTATACGTTGCTGCACATGCAGTTACAGGTTTCAGTCCACCCTCGTAAATATCAAAGGGAATGCCTTATGCCCACAAGCTATGGATTTTTTAGGTCGAGCATTGGTCACATTTTGACCCCGTGCTTTATAGAGAAGTTGTCAGTAAATTGCTGAGAAACGTTTTAGTTAAGTAAGCCTCATTAAATTAACCAGAGAACAGATCAGCCACCGCATTGTTCGTGGGCAGGCTGTCAAGCAGTTTACCAGTTGCCTTCACTTTCACAAGTAACTGATGACTTCTTTACATGCTAGAGCAGAGGTACAGTGCAAATGACCGTAGAAATGATTTCATGATAAATCACAACGAAAGTGACATGCGCCGTCCGGGAATCGAACCAGGCTCGCCCGACTCACAGTCCAACGCTCTACCTATTGAGCTAACCAGACGGTGCTCTTAGAACAATGTAAGAGATATGTCACTTTTTTAGTTTATTTATTTACTGCTTACTGCTTAGCTTAAATTAGCTGTAATCTTATAGGATCAGTGTTTGCAAGGAAACTATTTCTAATTTTGTTATCAATAATCGCAATAAAATATACATAAACTAAATAGAGTCTTCAATAACAAAAAAAAATAACAAAAAAAAATACAACCGCATATCTGTATTATTTTTCAGAGGAAGAAAATGTTAAGTAAAATTACTGCATCAGTCATTAGACATAAACCATTTGTTCCTAGAAATAAATATTAATCTGAACATACATTATATCTTCGGGCAATGAGCAAATTCTTTATCCAGTATTTTTTATGTCAATGAATTAGTTATCATTATATTTACATGCATGCATACTTAATTGTTAAACATAAATGATTTAATAATGGTATTAAAATATTGTATATATACTCTTATATACTAATTTAATTTTCTTTCCCCTCAAAACAAAACTTTGTTTTGTAGCCTTGGTATCAAAATATTAGAAGTGATTTATCAGCTAGATGATAGTAAATCAATGAGAACTTTGTATAAGAGAAAGACTGGACAGACTTAGGTAACTAAATATGTAATTTTTTTTTTGGTCAGGGTTTAAATCACACCAACAGAGTATACAGTTGGTCATATGGCAACTTTCCAGATTTATTGGTGGAGGAAGACCTCAAGTGCCCTTCTATGCATTATTTCAGACACAAACAGGCACCCGAGTAGAACCATCCACATTCTGTAAGCTAGCTCACTTGAAAGAAGTCCCTGTCATGATTGAAACCCAAAGTGGTGAGGGGCAAGTGGTTTAAAGTTAAAGACCATAACCACTCGGCCTTCGATGCCCCTAAAAAAACTCTCTAGAAAAAACTGAACTTAACAGAAAGATCGTATAACTTTTAAGAGTAAGAGAAAATAAGTTAACAAGTGACATTACTATCTTTTACTTTACAGCTTTATAAGTGTACATATGTATACATAAATGATCTTCAATAGGGTACAAATGTGTATCAGAAAACATATATTTAGATTAATCAATATCCTAACATATGCATACATCCACAGCAAGCACCAGACAGATAGTCCTATGATAGTTGAATTTTTTTTCTCTCATAGAAATACTCATTTCAAATAAATAACCGTAATTAAAATTATAAGAATTCACTATCTCAATTCAATTTTCATATTCTTCTCAACTTCAAGTCGTATAAGACTTTGTAACCTCCAAGACGTGTCATACGACAGTGCCTTGTCCGCCGACTGGAATGTCAATCTGTAACAGCGACTTGTTTTACCAGATACAGGTTCAGTGTATGTATCTAAAAGTTCTACACCAATCACACAATCACCTGCCACATCTCGTATTATGTCACAATACTTCAACCTACAAAATGGTAAGTTCTTGTTCTCCCAGAAACTCATGTCATGAACGAATGTCATCGGATATAAGCTCGGTGATTTTATACCAAAATCTTTGCACTGAAATTTACTGCTTCTGGCTACATCTGCAGCTTTACATTCTGATAATTTTGGCTCACTTTGTGTTCTTTCATTAACAGCTTGTAAACCATTTTCAAGAACAGAACTATGAACAGGTGATACAAGATCTAGCTGAGAAAACATACCAAGTACTCTTGAGTCTTCAGACCACATCAATTTCTCATTTTCGATGCTGTATATACTACATGCAAGTTTACACAGGTCAATGGTACAGAAAACTGTAACAAATGAAGATTTTGATACTAAATTATCCCTGACAAATTTCAATTTGCAATCACCTAGCTTCACAGATTCTTGATCTTTGCTCTTATTATGTACTGTTCCTTCGGATAAATTAAGTGTTTTATCACAGATGTATATGTCAGCCACATCAAAAACTTTTTCTAAATCTTCAGACAAAATTTGAATAAACTCAACATGACCATTTGTTATATCTACCTTCCACCTTGTGTTTACCATCATATCATCAAGTATATGTTTAACATTATGTGCAACTTCATTCGCAGTTTTAGCTAAATTTTCTTTAACAAGCTCCAAATCATCACCATTATCTGAACCTATAGAAACAGGCCATGCAAGTGTCATAATATAGGACACAAGAGACTGGTTCAATGAAATATCACATGGTTTATAGACTGGTCCATATTTTATCCTTAAAATTTCAGGGTCGTCGGGACCTGCAAATACTAATGGGTTCCAGTCTATACTAACATCTTTATCATCCTTGGTCATTTTATTAACTTCTTTTTCATCTATTAGATCACTTAGATCATCACCGACCTCCTTGAAATCTGTGACATCAGATTTAATCAGTTTATAATAAGAATCCTCATCTGACATTAAACCAGCATCACATGATGGAACTCTGGTTGCATATTCTTTGAAAGGGCTTTGAAGTCCTCGATTTTCAACTTTGTTGGTTGTATTACAAGTAAGACATTTCAGAAATCTTCTATAAACTCTTGTGTATTGGATGACTCATATTGCTGTTTATAGACCTGTAAAAAATGACAGAAAATGTTTAATATATTAGTTTTATATATTTAGCTTTCACAGTTAAAAGAAAACATGAAAATTCCCCAACCATATCTGTGCCTTACAAAGAAATTGCAAAGAATTTTATTCCGATTTTCTCTTTCATTTTAAAACATATTTTGTCAATTTATTCTGTCCTAAATTTTTGTGTTGTCAGTGCATCTATGATCAAAATAATTATTTGTGGCATGATTTGTAAGGTTGTGTTATAACTGGCATATAGACCTAATAAACAAAACAAAGGTTTAGTCACAGAAAAACAGAAAACATTTTGTCTGTACACTTTATTCATTACAGCAGATGAACCTAGACACAAATATGGGAATACTACTCCAAAACAGATTATATTCATCACAAAGAGACTCAACATTTGTTTCAGATATAGAAGTGCTGGGAAATACCACACATTTTTCATTTATTCTAACCTCACTATTTAAAAGTTCCATTTATGATCAAATGCATTACTCACCCTTGTTAAGCTTTGAATGAACAGCATTAGTTCTTCCCCTTCCTCCGTTGTTAATATATTTGATAAATCAAAATGTTTTAACTGCACTATTGATTACAGATGTATTATAGTCAACAATTCTCTAAGCAGCAATCTATGCTTATGCCTTCACACACTTTTGAAATGCAATTAGAAATTTAGGTCATCTACCATTAATATTAAAAGTTAAACTACCGTGTTTGCTCTGACTTACTATTAAAACATACTAGATATATATATATATATTATATAACATGTATTTTATAATATTTTTCAATGGCTGAGCAGGTAAAATGTAAAACAAATCCTGAAGGCTCTAAAATGTGAGCATTTTTGTCTGTTTTATATACATTAGAAAAGAGACTTTAAGGATTATAATTCATCATACTGAGTTAACAAGAAGATCTATGCTGAAAAAGCGAATATGTTTTTAATTTCCTAGAAATGTCAAAACAACCAGTTTTTACCTTTATAACATTAAATAACAGTTTGAGCGCATGTTAGATGCTTGGGTACCTTAAAGAAGTAGCACTAAATATGTTATTTATCACAAAAATACAAATGTTATAAAATAGTATTTTGTTACCATACAAAATACCTAAATCCACTATAACTGATCACTAAAATGCCAATAAGAGCAATAAAGTTAAAAAGATGGATCAGTACACTGGACCCACTGATTAACTTTTTATCAGTAATATATTAAAAGTACATCAAAAGGAAAAGCTTTTTAGCAAATAAACAAAAACATTTCTGGGTAAGCAGCGACAAGTCTGTTCTGCAAGTGTCAGTCACAACTACAAAAGAGATACACAAACTGATTTTAGCAGTTTTCTGTGAGATCATAAGGCTGGACACAGGAAGATGTTGTTTCCTAGCTTGATCTTTACCTCATCAGCACCACAGGGACCTTACGGGCTGGCCATCTTCAAACACTAATGTGTCAGTGCATTCTCTCTGTGTTGAAACCTTATCTAAACTCCTGGGATAGAAGACATGAAAATTTGTTAAACATGTGTTAAGCTAAGATTGTTGTTCTTTTATTATCAGAAGAAATTTGTTTTTAATCTTTGATAAAAATAATATGTAAGTCAAAAGGATGTTTATAAATTAATTATTTTGATATATAATGAACAAAAAATCTTCACAAGAGAGACAAAAATATAAAGAGTTTTGAAAATATTTGTTAGCCAACTATTATTTTTGTTTCTTGTGTTAATAACAGGCTACACTAACATGTATTGTGTGTAAGGCCTCTCACACATATACGATTTCAAAATAGCAAAACAACATCGAAACATACAACTTTTTGAAAAATTCTCATACATTAACTTCTAATTCTAGTATTTTCTATTAAAACAGGTACCTCTCCTTTTGCTGTACTGTACTGCAGTCCTGAGGCCTTCCTCTACAAATGACGTTTGGACCTTTTACAATTTTCAAGAAGCAGTGACCTATTACTCAGTTTCTCGCAATCAACTCAGGGAACGATGGCTAAGACTACTGGGGTCATAGCCATATTTCCTTCTATAATGAACAATATGTTGTTGTAGAAGAGTGGTTTTTAATTATAATTTACATGCTTTACAACAAGCAATGAATGTATAATGTTTATCTGTCAATGAGACTAAATAGCAATAAAAAAGATGGTTAAAGAGCACTTAAGATGGAATAAAGATGGATGTTACACATTGTTAATATTGCATACGCAGACAAAAAATGAAATCAGTCTGCTTTATCTAGCATCTATTTTAAACAAATAATTACCTACAATCAGTAGATCGTGTAACCCTGTAATCATCCGCATTAATGGCACATGTAGTACAATATCAGACCAGATTGGCTGCCATGGAAACGACCGGCCAACTATCATGCCAGGCTTTCTCATATGGATTTGACTCAGCTGGGGTCCACCTTGACCCTTTACCACAACGGTTCATTCTTGATCTGAGCCTTTCATCCTTCCAATACCTGAACAGCATTGTAAACATATGAACTGTACAGTCTTAATATAATGCCTCCAACTTTTTTAAATTGCGGATAATTTGAAAACAATGATTTTCATTAAGGTGACTCTGACACATAATCTTTTACACATGGCTGTGTTTTAACCCTTATCACACTAAGAAATATGGATGAATGCGATTTGTCAATGGTTTCAATCTGGACAAACAATTCATCATTCAGGGGAAAATTTCTAAATTAGTATGACATGAATAGTAAGGCCCCCACGTTACATGCTTTAACGGATCCCGTTTCGACTTTCACATTCGTAACACGTTTTACGAAATGGTTACCGTTAATCGAAAGACATATTTCTTACAAAAAATATTAATCATTGCTGTAATCATGAAATTCTACTTAATTCTAATTGAATTGATTTCAAAGTGAAACAACGGAAATTTTGTGCTCAAACCTTTAGACAGGCATCAGCGTGCAATTATCCTCGTGATATAGTTACATTTTTGGTAAATTGATTTACCCTTGTTTCTCAAATGAACGAAATGGGGATACAATGCAGAAAATGTGTTGGACTGCGAATCGTGGTTGAGCCTGCCCACATTATTATTTGTACATGTATAAAAAAATATTAAAGTAAGTCATCATTTGGCAGCTTGATACATGGTGTAGTATAGTACATGATGGTACCACCGTTTTTAAACAGTATCGTTTCGGTCTTAACAATCGTGTAACATTTACAAAAATTGTAAAACGTGGGAGCCTACTGAATAGCAAACAAACTCAAGACAATGCATCAGAACACACATCTAAGGAGGTGATCTTTCGTCACAATGAGGTAGAGTTTGCAACTCGCCAGCAGGATACAAGATCTGTCAATGAATCACAAGAAAGCAATGGTGCAAATTGCAATTCATTCACAGAAGAATTTAAACATGTTACATTGTATATGCTAAAGATTTTCAATTGTAATACATGTACCTCACAGGAGTTTTGGATGTTATTATCAACTTACAGCCACAAAACCTGTTAATTTTTTTCTTCTGATAATGTTACATCTAGGCAGTGTTCAAATTAGCAGTAGTCCGATAGCCCCTGACTACTAAATTTCTCCTCGGGCTACCAACTTTTTACAGTAACAAGCCCGACCAGACTACTGTATTTTCAGAGGAACAATAAACAACTGTTTTGAACAAATGAATCGTGCTAGTGAAATGTCTTTTGGGCTAGTGAATATTCCAATCTGGTAGTCTGACCGGCCTAGTGAATTTAAATCCGAATTTCTTACACTGTCTAGGCTAAGCTAATTGTTAAATTCTTTTATCATATCATACATATCTGACAGACATAAAGACATATAATTGAAAACATCATTGAGATCTTGATAATCATTCAATTACAAAGAAATAAAACTGCATAAGGTCAATTAAGGAAGTAACTTTATATAGTAGATTAATACCTTGCAAAGAAGTCATTGAGAAGTTTTCTGTTTTTCTTGTGGTTAGATTTACCTCCAGCATGTGGAAAGTTGAAGATGATGCTTGAAAACTTTTCATCTCTAGTTAATGGGTTGATGTGTAATTGTGTGGCATCTGTATCAAGTCTGACAGTAACTCCTGTATAAATATTTAAAAATGCCAAAACATTTGGATACAATAAAAACAAGTCAAAGTTGAAGTGGACCTGTGACCCAGTATAGCCGATTAATGTCAGACATTTAAAATAACAAACATTATGCCAATTATCTTTAAAAGTCACTAATAAGGCTGTACATGTAGATATGTCATGAATCTGCCACCTGTGCCTGGACCCATACATCTAGGGAATAGAGGAAAATTTCCAAAGCCCTAGTTTCACCATTCTAAGACAGTCAAATGCCCACACATCCTCCACTATTCAATTTTTGCTGTTTAGACAACCATTGCATTGACTAGGCATTTCAGCAAGAGGTAAAAGGTTGAAACTAACCTCATTAGCACCACTTCCCCAAACACTGCTCTAGGTCAAGAATATATATTTTTTTAGGCCATAATATCCAAACAAATTTAATTTATACCTTTTTCTTTTAATGAATCAATATTCTTTGCGGCATACTGGTGCTTCTGGATAGACTCTGATGTCTCCAAGCTGGTTGCTGTAATACATGTACATTTTTTACCAGGCAACTTCTCTACCATGGAAACAGCAAATGAGAAATCTCCTTCACCAACCAGCAATGTATTACCTTTTACTAACTTTTCCATTATCACATATAAAATGCATCATCTGATCTGTAATGAAAAATGTTAAGTTGATCATCAAGTACTATGTTGCAGTTGTAAAAACTTGCCCAAAACTTAACTTTATAGGCATTATTTTATTTTTTCTGGTTGTTTGGGATTATTGATGCAGATCATTTAGAGTTGAAGATTGAATACCATTTAAGCCGGATCTATGAGGCATTTTTTTATGGATGTTGAACTTTTTTCAGTTTCCTATTAAATGAACAGACTAACAGACTAAATTAAACCGAGTCTGCGATTTTAATCTAATTTTGTTGCTTCTGAGAGATCTCTCTTTTCCAGATCTTTTTTTTGATTTTACAATTTATTGACCTTTTCGAAGACCTAGCTAAACACACTGTTTTCCGGTATGTTGCGGATTTAGCTCTGGGGAATTACACCAAATGAAGTATAACACAGTTACATGATATTTCTATTTTTTATCATTATTTTACCGTTTAAGGTGAAAAAATTAATGTATTTGAAATTTATCAATATTA